TTATTATGATTATTTTTTATCCAACCAGTTATTTTTATTGCCAAATGCAGTATGGCTAATATCCAAATTGCCAATGAGCTCATACACTATTTTCAACGAAGAGTAAGAAACAGTTATTTCCTCACCAAAAAATTGAATATTGACTGAATAAACTTCTGTGAAGCGTAGTTAAAAGCCAACTTAACCCTCGCCTATGCAAACATCAAATTTTGTTCATAAAAAAAAACTGCTTTTTTCTTGCTATTCAAGAGCTGCCAACACTGGCCAGTCAGCAGCATCCACATTTGTTGCTACGCCGCGCTGTTTTGCATGCGCAGAGAGATAATAAAGTTAACTTTTTCAAAAAAGCTAAACAATTCTTGACCCATTTCGAATTCAGAAGTTGAAGCTGAAGTGATTTCGTCGATTGTTATTGTAGATCCACATACACACACAAACACACTTGACTTGCCTTGAACCAGATACTTCAGATTAGAAATCAGGTATCTGAAAGCTGCCGTAATTTAAGCAAAATCATTTTCAATCAGCCTATTGTCAAACGCGAATTTCCTGTCTTATCGCTAGAGATTATAGATTTGAGTTGCGTTTACAAGCTCCTCTGTTAGCTGGAATGTGACTTTATCGCACAAGTTGATTTCACTAGAATAATATACACATCTACTATTTATATTTATAAATATTCATATGTGCCATTAGGAAACTTGTTTAATTGTCAAAAGGGCTTTCAAATGTTAATAGGTGTGACTTATTTTTAGAATCATTTCCTCCGCTGACATCCATTAAAAAAATAACGAACCTGTTTCACAACAGACGTCAAAACCTAAATGACCGAAAGCGTAGTTTCTTATTTATAACAATCGATAAAAATGCTGTTAAGAAAGTTTTACAGTAGCCACTCACACAGTGGAACTTATGGAAATAGGATATATTTTAGAACGTATTGACATATTTTTCAAATTTCATTGAATACAAATTCATAGACCATAACCTATTATCATAATAAAAATTAAAGTTCCAAATATTTGCAAAGTGTAATCATTCGATTATAAATAGAAATAGTTCTGTTTAAATACTGATTAACTTTTCTGTTTATAATGCGTTTTGCTTTTTATTATCTCGAAAATCGATTGGTGTTAATTGCTTGGCCTCTGCCGTAAAAAGTGAAATGCTCTAGCATGACTTATCAGTAATATATATAGATATAGATAACTGGTCAGTGTCTGGGCGTCTTTATCTAATCGAATACCAAATTAAAGAACTTATTAAAAACAAGTCAAATACCTGAACATATCTCTCTGATTCGTTGTTCTTTACCCTCTAATCACAAGCTAACTAGTAGATAATACAACCAAGAAACTGAATTATTATTCAAAATATTCGACATTTTTAAACATTTCTAATCTAACTGGGAAATTTTTCTAATTACTGATAACAATGCGATTTTTGTAAATAAATTTTCCATTATGAAATTTGGCAATCAGGCAAGCAACCATCAATCACACAACAATTAGGTATTTAGTCAATAATTTAGTAATTTTTGACAACATTAAATTTTGAAGAGAGAAATTTTTCGATACAAACTGATATGCTTTAAAATATGCCAATGGGCGAACTATTTGAGTTATCATCGTCATACTGGCTGAATTTAGCTTATAAAGTGTCCAGAAGCTACCAATAATGACATATCAAATTGTCAAGTGTTTATTTCAAACAGACAAATATACCTAATCTACCCACTATTCACATTGTGATGATGAGAAAACCCCGTTTTTTGATTAGACACAACTTATATAGATGATTCAATATACAGTTGTTATTAGTAGTCTACGCACAAGACAGCTATGAAAACATATTTCAGTTGTCAGTGCGATATTTTTGTTTCTTTGTTTTAAGATTGTTTATGGTGTTTTCTTTGACGCACTCTCTGCCATTTAGCCGCTTATCAAAGAAGAGCAAATGAAAATCCCAAGATGAGTTCTAAACTGAAACGTAAATCCCTATGCAAACAGCTTCCATGACAAAACTAATAATCAGCATTGTATTGGAGACCGCAGCATGACGCGCTTAAATCCCGACACTTAAAAAAGCGAAAGTGATGCATACTATATATATAATATAATATACTATATTGAATAAGTAGTAGATTAGACTGCTGATATTTCATCTCGCATGGTGAGTCATCTGCGCTGATAAGAGCTTTAKTTAGGCACCTGCCTGCCTGCAGGGCATACAGAATGCTAATCAATAGAATACTTCCGGTCTGCCTGACATGCTGTGCCCTAACATATTCAACGGACCATACCAATTAGCTCTCGTCTTATCAGTTGACTACACTCGTAGTACAGAGAACAATGTAGAATGAAATTATATTGTTTAGCTACTATAAATACAGTATATATACAAATATATAATTTTGTATGCTATTCAGCTGAATTATGTAGTCGAGATTCTCCCTGCATAAAATGCTTATAAACATTAATATTTAAATTCGAATACAAAATTCCTAGAGTATAGCAACAATATTGTTTCATTATAGATATCGAATTCTTTATTCTGAAACTTTATATCTATATTCAAACTAGACTGATTCGCCTTCAATAACTTTCAGAGATCGTGCTTATAAATTAGTTCGCATGGCAATTACCAAAAATTATTGTATAGACTCTAATTAAATTCGCTATGTAAAGAAAGAAAACCACCAAAACGTGTTTTTGTTCATATACATACATATATATGTATATATAATTTAAAAATATTTTCAGTGTATAGCTTTTGAAATTAGCTCTGGAACAGTGTCGAATTGCGATAGATATGTTAAAATTTACAATTATTATTTAACGCGCTGTTAAATTTTAACAATTGTATAAATATATTATTACATTATATGAATATAAATACATATATATAATCATATATACATACATATAGATGTATGTAGGTGTAGCCAGCACAGCATTGCTTTTGCTTCTCTTCTTGAAATTGTACAAAAACTATGGACCCTGATAAGTACATTGAACCGCAGATAATCGACGGTTATACTGACAAAACGGGTTTCCTACTAAACTAAGAAAAGCTACAAAAAATAGGAGAGAAAAAAATCTACGGCTGGACCATGTTGCTATCAATCACAGTCGCATCAAAAATGCCAAAAAGAGGGCGTTGACCAGCTTCAGCTGTTGATATTACATATATGTATGTACATATGTTTAAACAAAAATATATAACTGATCAGCTAGCTCTATGCAAAGCATTTCCGTCTAGCTGAATCAAACCTTTGCTCCCAATTTTGAATAATTTGGCAATACAAAAAATTGAATAAAATGCGAACAACAAAAAACACTATTACTCAATCTTTCAATAGACAAAACAGAAAGCAAAAATACAACATTATGCTTATGTTAATAAATTAAACAATCAACTAAGTGAGAGGTGCTGTAGACAAGGCTGATCGACTAGTAGATACCTTGCAAAACATTAATATCTATGCTTTTAAGCTAAGACTTATTAGAATAACTTTAAGCCATGTGCAAGTTTTAGTTGCATATGATTCAAGTTCCTAAATCGTTCTTTATCGAAATAATAAATTTACTTCCTTTAAGGTTTTCCCTAAACTTTGACACAGATAGAAACAGCTTAATCAACTGAGCTTAAAGTATTGATATACACATACATATGTACATCTATCGATATCTTCCTCTTTCAGTCACCAACACACTTGCCCAACATCATTATACCCCCACAAAAATATTTTGCAATAGTTAAAGAGTATGAAATGTATAAAAAAAAAACAACGCAGTCATCGCTTGGCCCATTGCATTATCACTGGCCCTCATCCATCTACTCACCTTCTCCTTCCCCCTCTTCATCTCCCTCGCTCACTCTTTGTATCTCTCTCACACACTAACTTACCTGCAGCAGCTTAGTCGCTACGCCAACGTCAACTTGGCGAGTAAATTTGTTAATTGAAGCAGCGACTGAGACAGCGGCGTCAGCGTCAACGTCAACAGCAACGTTAGCCAGAAGACAGCGACAAAGTCGTCGGCGCTGGGTCTGTGGCTATGGCTATTGTTGGACCAGGGTCAAGCATAATTACTAGATGGCCTGTTCTCTTCCTTTTTTTATATCAGCTATTTTTAGTGTTTGCTCATAATTAATTAACGTTTTGTTGACAATGCACATACATAACATAAAACAAGAATTATGACAATAATTTGTTGCGTTGAATCGCCTTGGCAGCCACTACCAGAGTATTTGTTTTGACAAAATTTATTGTCAGTTGACTTTCAAGCTGTTTCATTAGTCATTCAGGCCAGGCATTACAGCAACAACAAAAGCACAGTCTAAGCGTTTATTTCTGTGTATGCAAAGGTTTCGCGAGGTTTTCTGCTGGTTTTTATTTTAGTTACTGATTCGTTTTTTGACTATTTTCTGTTGTTTTTATATGGATTATGACACTTTTGTTGGTTTATGCACTTTATCGCGAGCACGTATGCAATCAAATGCCTTTAGAATTTAGGGTTTTAATCTCATTAAAATTAATCTCAAATACAGTTTTTTTGTTTACTCCGCGACGTCGTCAACGGGTGCTGCGAGTCGGCCGTGCTCGTCCGCTGGTCGTGCTGCTGTGCTTCTTCTTGCTTTTTCTACTAATGATTGTAATCACCCTGTTACAAATAACAGTTTTCATAACAGGAATGTGTTAATCTGTTAAACTGTTGTCTGACTGTTAATAACAGTAACATCTTACTAATTATGTTAATTATTTATATTGTTGTAATTAGCTTACCGAATATTTTTTTATTATAACATTTGACTTTTTAGTGAAGAAAAAATATATTGTATTTTGGGCAAATACTAGTTACAACTTAAAATATATATAAATATAATTCCTATTGCAAACAAGACAACAGCTGCTCAACTGTTCATATATCCGAACACCAGCGCCATTGCACTTATCGATAAACTGTGTACGTCAGCTGCAGCTGTCAGTAACGATTCACAAAAATTTTTCAACACCCGACGTTGTTATTGTGCTCGCCTGCGTACAATTGTTTGGTTCATATATAAGCGTAAAGTGAGATTAGGCGCATGTGTTTTAGCGTAATTGTTGTAGTTAAATAAATGTTGGATACATATAATGCGCTAAGTGTCGCGTTTACACAACAAGCACACAATAGCAGTTGAAACGGAAGAAAAAAAGTCGCGTATAACTATGTCATTTGTTGGCGGCGGGGTGGTGGGTGGCACCGATGTGCATAAATTTGTTGAGGCCCTGCAGGCAGACTTCAAGACGCTCTCACTTGAAACCAAGAAGAAGTACCCGCAAATAAAAGAGGTAAGTGGCTGGGCTTAGCCCAGGGTCAGCTGCTGTTGCCTCCTGCTTAAATCCGCTGACGTGTGCATCATAACGGCAATTTGTCATACGGTGGTTGTTTTGTGGGCTGCAAGGAGTCTTAAAGAGGGAGGGGTTCATGGGTGCGTCTCCTCTCTGCACCTGTGTGTGTACGACGCAATTATGAAATTGCTATCAGGCCAACCGGTCAGCAATAAACAGAAATTAAATTGATTTTTTTTTATGACAATTGCGTTAATTGATTTGTCAATGGTCATTAAGTTACGTTTTTCTTGCAGGCATGCGAGGAGGCAATCTCCAAATTATGCACCGCCGGCAGCAGCCAACAAAATTCTGTTTACTACACCGTCAATCAGATACTCTATCCGCTCGTGCAAGGCTGCGAAACAAAAGACTTGAAAATTATCAAGGTGAGTCATTCATCATCGTTGCATAGCTCCACGACTGTTACCTGCTTTGTTTGTTTATAGTTCTGCCTAGGCATGATGCAACGTCTGATTACACAGCAGGTAGTCGATCAGAAGGGCGCTTTGTATATCACAAATGCATTATGGACACTGATGGAGCACAATATAGAGGAAGTGAAGGTGCTGCAAACGGTGACGTTGCTACTGACGACCAATCTGGTGGTACATGGCGACACGCTGGCCAAGGCTCTGGTCTTGTGCTTTCGCTTGCACTATACCAAGAACCCAACGATTGTGAATACAGCAGGTGCAACCATACGGCAGCTGGTCTCATTGGTCTTTGAGCGCGTTTATCTGGAGAAAGATTCAGTGCACAGTCTGCAGCCACAACAGCAACAGGCGCCACCGCAGCACTCTAGTTCGAATAGTCCCGACACCGATGCGAATAGCAGCACCCAGGATGGGCAAACTTTTGCAACGGATGCATTTCATCTGTTTCAGGATCTGGTGCAGCTGGTCAATGCGGAGCAACCGTTCTGGCTGCTGGGAATGACCGAAATGACGCGAACCTTTGGGCTCGAGCTGTTAGAAGCAGTCCTAAGCAACTTTAGCGCTGTATTTCATGAGGTTAGCTGAAGCTTACGATAATTATATATGCATAATATAAATACATCTCTTCTCCTTTGCAGAATCAAGAGTTTCGCTTGCTCTTGAAGGAACGGGTGTGTGCTTTGGTCATTAAACTATTCTCGCCCAATGTCAAGCATCGCCAATTGCCAGCGCCGAGCAATGGCACAGCGGCTGTGCCCGTGGACAAGCCACTATTTCCCATAAGCATGCGTTTGCTTCGCTTGGTGGCCATATTGATACAAAAGTATCATACAATATTAGTTACTGAGTGCGAGATCTTTTTGTCGCTGATCATTAAATTCTTGGATCCCGACAAGCCCCATTGGCAGCGTGCATTAGCGCTGGAGGTGATTCACAAGCTGGTAACACGATCCACGTTGATTGCTTTCTTCTGCAAATCGTATGATTTGAAGAATCACGCAACGCATATTGTCCACGACATGATTGCCGCCATGGGTAGCTATGTGCGTTACTCACTGATCAATGCATCAGCAGTGTTGAGCAATGGTGGACAGCAAGCAATTGGAGCGTCCGGACAGCAGCCAAGTACATTGACGGCATTGTCTAGTGGAGGGAACAATCAGTGCGGCTTTTTGTTTCGCGGCGCCTATCTGCCTTTGGTCGCCAGCTTTGCGCCCGGCTTACCAAAGGCTGTCTAGTAAGCAGCAGTAGCAGCAGCAGTTTTATCTACTGTATATTAATAATTAATTTATCATTTAGTTTGGAAATGTTGGACAAACTGGATGCGCCCAACATACCCGATAGCTATGGCATTTCTGTGGCCTATGCCATTCTGTTGGATATAACCCGTTCCATTGGCGGAGTTATTCAGCGCACACCGGAACTGCATCCCACACACAATATGGCCATTATTACGGACGAGGAGTATAAGCCGTTGTGTTTGCAATTGATCAATTCCAGCTGGTCTGGACTGCTAAGCGCATTCATTCCGCTGGTGGAAACGTCCATCGATGAGGGCACCACCGAGAATATTTTGAAAGCCATGCAGAACTATGCGGCGCTTTGTGGCATGTTGCAGCAGCTTCAGCCACGCGATGCATTTATAATGGCCATGTGTCGCGCCTCCTTTCCGCCACACTATGCCGTATCCATATTTGCCAATAGCGCACAGCCAGACGTTGACCTCAGATGTAAGCATTATAAATTTATATTTCGTTATATATTTAATAATATTTTCATTGTAAATTGACAGGCCACACGCGCAGCGGCAGTCAGGATCTGAGCAGTCAATTTATTAACAGCTGCAACGCTGATAGCGGCGACTTTCGACCACAGATTGTGGCAGTTGGCACTCCGTTGCCCAGCGCCTCGTTGCCGCACAGTGTGATGCAGGCTCCAGTAATGTTGACCAACAAGAATCTTCAATGCATGCGTGCGATTCTTTTGCTGGCACACAACAATGGCAGTATTTTGGGCACGTCATGGCACATTGTGCTGCAGACGCTGCAGCATTTGGTATGGATATTGGGCTTGAAGCCCTCGACGGGCGGCAGCTTGCAGGCAATGCCCAAGCCTGCCGTGGAAGCCAACGTGGGCATACAGACGGCCGTAATGGCTGACTTGCCTGTGCTGTCGCAAATGATTGGGCAACTGTTCGAATCGAGTCAGTGTCTAGATGATGTCGCCCTGCATCATCTTATTGATGCACTGTGTAAACTCTCCCACGAGGCCATGGAGCTGGCCTATGCCAATCGTGAGCCGTCGCTCTTTGCTGTTGCCAAGCTGATGGAAACCGGACTGGTGAATATGCCACGCATCGAGGTGCTCTGGCGACCGCTTACCAATCACCTGCTCGAGGTTTGCCAGCATCGGCATATACGCATGCGCGAATGGGGCGTTGAGGCTATAACTTATCTGGTTAAATCAGCGCTGCAATTCAAGCACAAACAGCCTCTCAAAGAGAACTTGGTAGGTGGAATTACTATAGCCCAGATAATTATATATTAAGTTATATTCCTGCACTCATAGGAATTGCAAACCATGTTGCTAAGTCCACTCTCTGAGCTGTCCACTGTTATGCATGCGGATGTACGTCAGCGCCAATTGGATTGTGTGCTCCAGATTCTGAATACAGCTGGAGAGATATTGTCATTTGGCTGGCCTGCTATAATCGAGATAATTGGCGCTGTTAATGATCACCACGGAGAGCCGCTGATACGCACTGCCTTTCAATGCCTGCAGCTCGTCATTACCGACTTTCTGACGGTCATGCCCTGGCGTTGTCTGCCTCTATGCATCAGCACAGCAGCGAAATTTGGTTCCCAGACACAGGAGCTCAATATTTCATTGACGGCCATTGGACTCATGGTAAGAGATTGGGGTCCTAGTCATTGGATTATTTATTGATTTGCTGTTGCTTTTGCAGTGGAATATCTCCGACTTTTTCAATCAAAACCAGGATAAACTGATGTCAACACAGCTTGAGGATGTGGCCATACTGCCCGACTTTCCAGGCACTCTGAAAATGCCACAGTTTGACAAACTGTGGATGTGCCTGTACGCCAAGCTGGGCGAGCTGTGCGTGGATTTACGGCCAGCGGTGCGCAAGTCAGCGGGGCAAACGCTCTTCTCCACAATTGCAGCGCATGGTACTCTGCTTAACCCACCCACCTGGCAGGCTTTGGTGTGGCAGGTGCTCTTCCCATTGCTGGACAACGTGCGTGCACTAAGCAGTTCGGCCAGCAACGAGAAGGTGGATGCCAGTGGAAATATTCTGATACACCATTCCCGTAACACGGCCCAAAAGCAGTGGGCCGAAACGCAGGTGTTAACCCTGTCTGGCGTTTGTCGAGTGTTCAACACCAAGCGTGAGCTGCTTCAAGTGCTGGGGGATTTCGAACGTGCTTGGTCGCTAATACTGGAGTTCATTCAAAATGCGGCGTTGAGCAAGAATGGTGAAGTTTCTCTGGCGGCACTCAAGTCGTTGCAGGAGATTATGTACCATAACAGCACGGACCGTGGCCTCAAGGAGGGCCAGTCAGCACAGCAGCAGGATGAAGAGATCTGGAATGTACGTCGGTCTGCAGGATAAAGCTATAACCTATTTATTTATGTATATACTTAACAGATTGCCTGGAACATATGGCTCAGCATTGGTATGGAGAGCACCAAAATGTCAGCGACTTCGAGATACCTGCCCGGCGTGGGTGGCAGTGGCGATAGCCAGGAGGACTTTTACATACCAAGTCAGGCATTTCTCACGGCACTTATACAAATCTTTCCCGCTATTTTTCAGCATATTCAAAGCAGGTGAGTCAAATGGATTACATACAAATTCAAAGGCTTACCTCTCTTGTTACTAACCTTAGATTCAGCGCATCGGACTTTGACAAGTTCTGCACTGTGCTGACCAATGCTGTCTGCATACCCGTCCAAACGGATGCCGTTCCTTACATCATGTCCACTGTGTCGGATACTTTGCTGACCCCGCTGCATGATGGCATACTGGAGTGCATGGAGCTGATACAAAAGGAGGCCATTAGGCAGGATGTTGACTCTGACTCGAGCATACGCCAATTGATACCCGCCATCTTTCGTCAGCTGCTGATCTTCAGCAAATTCGCCTGTGCACCGCCCACATTCCAGCAGAATGTGGAGCACAGCAAATATGGCAAATCGGCCAATCTTTATGCGAATAATGCCTCTGTCGAGGTGGTCAGCATGAATTATATACCGTTTGGCGAAAAATCCATTAGCATTTGTGTGAAGCTATACCAAAGTACAGCCACCGAGGAGTCGGTGGTGCAGGAGCAGATATTGCATGACATTGTCAAGGCGCTGCGCACTCCGCTGGCCATGAAGTACAAGTGTCTTTCCTCGAGTACCTGGAAGCTGGCCATATCCAGCTTGATAAGCGTATTGCACACTGGCTTAAAAGTGGCGCGCGCTAAGCCGCAACATTTTGCTAGCCTGTGGGACGATTTGGCCGATACACTTGACAAATTTCTGTTTCCGGTCAGTGTGTGCACCATCGAGGATCGCGGTCTCGAGGAGATCGTGCTCGATGAGACCATAGATTGTCAGGTGATTGAGCTGCTGCGCGATGAGGTGTTGCCCTTTGCACACGAGATGCCGCATCAGTTCATCATGCAAATTGTGGTCTTGTTGAACAAAGGCTCCATTCACTCGGCTTCGGATAGCAACATTTGCTACGAGTCTGACTGGAAACTGCGTGAAATATTTGCCAAAACCTGTTTCGAGACACTGCTGCAATTTTCGCTGCTGGAGGATCAGACCACGGCTACAGCATGCAACAATAATCGTCTGAATGCCAATTTATTGAGCACTGGTGCCCCAGGAGCGGTCAATAAGGACTTTGCCGGGCGGCTGGCTGTGACGGCGCTGCTTCATCGTTTTCAAGAGGTGCTCAAGCGCTTTAATGACGATGAACGCCAAAGTGGAAAGTGCCCGCTGCCCAGGTAAATTCGAAATCAGATAAACTTGTACTCTGGATTGATAATCTTTTCCTATTCTTCAGGTTTCGCCTTTCGGAAATTTCCTTTGTGCTAAAAGCTATTGCAACACTTGTCGTATCCATGAAGAAAGCGCCAGCATCCAAAGGTATGTGCCATAAATTACTGTAACTTAAATGTATATAAGCTTCAGCTATCATTACATTCAGTTAATAAGCCCGCCTGGGATTTACTGATCGGCCTGTATCCCTATTTGGTGGACTGCACCACAACCACATCGCCCGAGGTATCCCGTTCGTTGCGAGAGGCTTTGCTGCAGTACACGGATCTGCTGCAGGCGCCCAGCTACGTCAAGGACAATGCAAATCAATCGAATGGACAGCCATGAAGCAGAATGAAGTGAATTGAATCGTTTTTAGTTTAGGTCAATGTCCTTTTGAATATATTGCTACATTGCATGATTATATTTTACATTATATTATATATATTTATTTTAACTGTGCATAATTTAAAACACAAAAAAAATGTTATATTTGGTATATATGCTTATGTGACCACTTTTCATACCTAAGTCCTTATAAATTTCTAAAAGTATTGTAGTCGGAATTAAGTATATTATATTATTATATTATCTACAAACTGTTCGCAGTGAAAAGCTGTCAAGAGCTTAGCAGCTTGATAGCATAAGATGCCCCTAAAAAATGGGTTGGCCAACCAATGCAGCAACCTTATCTCGCAGCAAAAAAGCAAATATTTCTTTAGTACCTTGGTAAGACGCTGTTTGATATGATATGATATGTCATGACATACATATACACATATACTTATATTATTTGGTAACTAAACATTGAGCTATGCGAGTAGCAAAATTTTTAAAAGAAGACCTACCAAGAAATACAAATAGACTTGCGTGTTATCTGAATCAAATATTAACACTTAATCAGCAACAACTTTGTAGAGACGTTTTTAAATAAAGCAACAATTATTATTATTATATAATCATATTTTTCATTATAAATTTCTTTTTACAACACTTCCAGTAACTGTAATATATCATAGCCATGAAACCCACAATAAAATATGGCCATCTGACGACATATGGGAAAAATTTTTGTTGAGAAATCTTACCAATTATTTTTTACTTAAAATTGGAAAAAAAAACTGCAAAATTACGTCACTTGAAAAAAACGAGTTTGGAATTCTACGAACCACAGTTCTACGGCTATAAAAGCTCATCCAATTGAGTTCAAATCTATAAAACGTGTCTCTGGTTTCTGTGTGTTTTTTAATTATGCATATAATTAGATCAACCGAATTATGATATTCGCAAATTATAAAATAAACAATTCGTACTGATTTGTTTGCACCTATGGCCTTACATTTAATATTCAATCATTCCAGTGTTGAGAAAGTAAAAAATAAGTAGTCTCGAATTTTAATAAGATATATGTATTGCTTACCTCTTGAGCTGTAAAGTGCTTGGGAAACATTTGTCGAGTGCAAAAGATTTTAATCTAAATAAAATTTTTATTTTAATTTGTTTTGTTTTCATTTTAATCGGTATAATAAGTATAATAACATTTTTGTTGTTCTTGTTTGTTTGTTGTTTTTTTTTTTTTTTCAATTATTATTATTTTACCTGTTAATATTAATTATTTTTTATATAGTTTTTCCATGGTTTTTGTTTTAATATTAGAATTAGGCAATCGAGTTAATACTACCTTCGTTTTAAATATTATGCAACGAATTGGGTTTTTGTTTTTAATTTTATAATTATGAATTTTTTAAATGTATATTTAATAAACTCATTTCCGTTCTGGCTTGTATTTTATATTTTTAATTTATTTATTTATTTCTTATTTTTCTTTATATTTTGCTGTGCCTTTCAACTCATTTCTTTTTTAGTTTTTTTTTTTTTTTTCATTTTTAGATTTAAGTTTTTCTGCCGTGGGCGCTAAATGTACAGTTGCCTTGTAAAAATTTACAATTCAAGCGCTTGCTTTTAAAATATTTTTTTTATTATTAATGTTACAATTACTAATTTAGTTTCTGTTAGCTGAAAGTCGCAATCACCTTAACAATTAGCCGCATATATATATTCTTTAAAATATATATATATGTATATATATTTTTTTACTTTAATTAACCTTGTTTACTTATTTTCTTATTAATTTAGAGTTATTTTCTGTTTTAATATTATTTAGTTAATTTTTTTTTTTTTTTTTTTTTTTTTTTTTTGTGTTATGGGGAGGTTTACTTAGATATAATACAGTTGTTGTTATTATGGGATTGCAATTTGATTTCATTTTTATGTAGACTTAGTTATAAATCTTTGCAGTTGTTGCTTCTTCTGTTTAAATTTGAATATGTGTGTGTGTGTGTATTTGCGTGTGTATGCGTACATTTGACAAACATTGAAACAATTTTATGCATTACATATACAAAACTTTTTACTGTTTATATACATAAGCGGCACACATTTTTCATGAATTTTGTTTAACAAAATTTGAAGCCTGTTGCTTTGTGTGTGTATATGTATGTGTAGATATTTATGTTTGTATATGTATACTTGTTATATATGTATGTATATTAGAAAGAGAAGTTTCGTTAGGCGTTTATTCACTTTTATTTTATTTAGTTTTGTATGTAGATGAAATCGTAAAATGTTTTTACTTCTTTTGAGTTTGTTGCGAAATGTTTTTGATGTAATTTTGTTTGTTTGTTAGGTTTGCATTAAATTTGGTTTGCAATTTCTTTAAACTCTTTACATTAAATTACTTAGCTAAATAGCCATACAAAATGTCGTGTCGATTACATATATACTAATATTTGTTTTATATATATATACCCTGAATCCATGAAAATGGGAAATCAGGGTATGTTTTTTTTTTTTTTTTTTTTTTTTTTTTTGTTTCTTTTAGTTTAATGAACACTTTCTTGGGTTCAATTCAATATTACTTTAAAAAGTTTTTTTTTTGTTGGTTTTTAATATTTTTATAGTTTAGAGTTAAAGTTAAATGTTTAAGTTTTGCGTTGGTTTTTAAAAAGTTGCTCGAAATGAATATATGTATATATATAGTTAAGAAGCGCTGTGCCCTGTTGACTT